CCTTACCCCTCACCCTCTCTTCTCACCCCTTCCTCTCACCCCTTCCCTCATCTCTCTCCTCTTCCCGTCATTTCTCTCGCCGCTCCTCATCCCTTTCTTCCTCTCATTTCCCCTCACTCCTCCCCTCTGCTGTGTCCACGGAGGCTCACTCAGCCCCCAGTAGACGTCTCCGTGGGGCTAGTAGTCAGTCCCTCAACTTGATATCATCTTGGACGGAAAAAAACTCTCCTCCTCCTCTTCCTCTTTTTGTATTTTCTTCTTCTTCTTCTTCTTCTTCTTCTTCTTCTTCGTCATCTTTCTTCTTCTTCTTCGTCATCTTTCTTCTTCTTCTTCGTGTTTATCTGTGTGTCAGTAGAGGTCACACAGCGCCCTTCACAGACAGGGCGAACCAAAAGGTAGGTTGATCTGTGGTGGTGTGGTGGTGGTTGTAGGCGCTCAGCTGTGGTGGTGGTGGTCGGCGCTCAGCTGTGGTGGTGGTGGTAGGCGCTCAGCTGTGGTGGTGGTGGTGGTAGGCGCTCAGCTGTGAAAGGGGAGAGTGAGAGGGACTGAAGTGTGAGAGGCAAATAAGAGGGCTCAGTTGTGAGAGGCGAGTGAAAAGACTTGACAATGAGAGGGCCTGGGAGGGAGTGAGAGGGCCTGGGAGGGAGTGAGAAGGCCTGAGTGGACCTTAGGACGGAGTGAGAGGGCCTAGAAAGGGAATGAGAGGGCCCAGGTGTGAGTGGGAGCCGGGGTGCAATAGGATCCTGGGAACATGAGGAACATATCCCGTCCGGCCGCTGTTGTGTGACCAAGGTTCCCATCACCAGAGGTCCATTGTTTACCCACTGGTACTGACCCACCTCACACACCCACACACACACACACACACACACACACGCACACACACACACACACACACACACACACACGGAACATTATCGCAAAATCTCTCGCTTTCTAAGATTAAATGTAGATGATATACAAGGTGGTTAGGTTAGGTTCGATCAGGTTAGGTTAGGTTTGGTTAGTTTTGTTTAGTTAAGTTAGGTTAGGTTAGGTTAGTTAAGTTAGCATTAAATTATGTGTAGTTAGGTAAGCGATAGGTTGATTAATCTTCAGGTGAAATAAGCTGGGACTTGTCTTCAGGTGATCCAGTTTTTCAACACGGTCAGGTGGTGGAGGTGTTGTTGACCTAACCCGACCTTGGACACGGGGAAACGGGTAAAAAATGAGGAAGGTAGTGAGGAGAACTGCGCAGGCACCCACCACAGTCACCTTCAGTCTGCAGCGCCACCTTCACCCAGTAGGTGAGCCAGGCAGGGGTAGGTGGTCAGCCCACACCTGGAACTCGAGCCCCTGGGAGTGCTCAAACAGGTTCTTCCGGTAGCTGCGGCGGCAGGAGGGAGGGGAGAGAGGCCACGCCGATGGGGTGTTGAGTGTCTTGGCTCACCCTGATACCGCCCTGGCCATGGGAACATCTCTAGGCCGCTCTACTGACATGCCCAGACGCTGGGAAAATCTCCAGGGTGCCTCAGGAGCATTTTCTGGCGCTGGGAATATCTCTAGGCTGCCCTAGAGACACGCCCTGGCCATGCGAACCTCTCCGGAGTGCCTTAGTGATAGACCCTGGCTTTTGGAATATTTCCAAGGTGCCCTGATGCCACGCCGAGGGCCCCTCCAGGTTGCCCTACTCGAGCCCTGGTCCTGAGAACTTGTGAGGCAACATTTCTCACCTCTGAGCAGGTTTGGTTTCTCAGTTTCTGGGAGTGAGTCGTGTGACCCTTGATGAAGTGAAAGACTTTTGGTTGTGTCATCACCTAGCCGAGTCCAGACTAACCTAGTGTTAATCCAGCCAAACTTAACCCAACCCAACCGAAGTATGATACAACCCAACCTCACATACCCTCATATAGCCCCTGGTAGCCTCATATAGCCCCTGGTAGCCTCATATAGCCCCAGGTAGCCTCACATAGCCCCAGGTAGCCTGACATAACCTCACCCAAGTGATAATGGAAAGGCCTTTGTGGTGGTCGTCCTTCATGTTGAGGTAAGGCGGTGCGTGTTAAGCCACATATTGGGTTCATCTGCGTCACTTCTACTGTTTTTCTCAGGTGTTGTACAGATCAAGTTGTGTTATGTGATCTCTGCTTTATTTACTTTTCTTTCTGTCTTGTCATGTTTATTTTGTTTATATTTGTTTTTATTTTGTGTTTGATTTTTCTTTGTTTTTGTCTTTTTTCTGTTTGTTTTTTCTTTGTTTTTTTCTCTTTTCTATGTTTGTTTTTCAATGTTTTTGTATTTTTTCTGTTTTGTTTCTCTCTGTTTCCTTTTTGTTTTACTCTGTTTTGTTTCTCTCTGTTTCCTTTTTGTTTTACTCTGTTTCTCTGTTTCTATTCCTCTCTTTTACTGTTTGTTTGGTTGTCATTCTTTCTCTACTCTGTCTCAATTAATCTTTCTTTATTTTACATTTCTCAATTTATTGCCTCTCTCTGTCTCCCTCCCTTACCCATCTCTCTTCCCCCTTCCCTCCCATTCCTTTTCCCTCTCCCCTCTTCTCCCTAACCCCCATCCCTCCTGCTATCATCTCTCCTCCTCTCCTTGCCTCTCCCTCTCCTCCTTCGCCCTCTCTTCACCTCAGAATGGCCACGACTCCCCAGTGTATCCTTAGATCGCTCCTAAGGGACCCTGGGGATCTTTGTGCCAAGGCTGGTAGGACCCTCCTCTTGTTTCTCTGTAGGACACTTTTCTGCTGTAGGACTCTCCTCTGTTTCTCTGTAGGACTCTCCACTTCCTTCTCTGTTGGACTCCTCTTGTCTTTCTGTGGGACTCTTTTGCTATAGGACTCTCCTCTGTTTCTCCTGTAGGACACTTTTCTGCTGTAGGACTCTCCTCTGTTTCTCTGTAGGACTCTCCACTTCCTTCTCTGTTGGACTCCTCTTGTCTTTCTGTGGGACTCTTTTGCTATAGGACTCTCCTCTGTTTCTCTGTAGGAATCTCCTCTGCTGTAGAACGCTTCCCTTCTCTCCCACAGGACTTCTTTTCTGTTGCATCACCCATCCTTTTTTTTCCACCACCGTAGGACCACTAATTATCAACGCTAGGACCTCCCCACCATGCCATTCTCATCTCCACTGTAGGATATCCTCTCATCCTGACCACAAACTTCACCATCCTCTGGCTCACGACGACGGCCGAGATGACAGCTAATGAGTTACGGCGGCGAGTGTTGTGTTGTTGCCTTGCGTTGTGTTGTTGTGTTGCTTTGCATTGCGTTGCATCGTGCTACGTTGCATTGTGTTGCGGCGCGTCGTGTCGTGTCGTGTCGTGTTGCTTTGTGTCGTGTCGTGCCGTGTCGTGTTGCTTTGTGCCGTGCCGTGCCGTGCCGTGCCGTGCCGTGTCGTGTCGTGTTGGCAAGGGTTTGTGGGGAGACGCGGTGGAACGTGGCAAATAAATCGGACCACAAGAAGTAGGGCCGCCACATAAACCATCACAAGAACGTAGTGTTAACATCACAGGCTGAAAATTTGTCACTTTGTTACCAGGAAAAGGAAGGACGTTGGGTGACAAAGACGACCGTATATACCAACAGAAAAATGCATCGTTGACACCAGACGCCTTAAAGTGTTCTAACTTATTACCAACACAACGATGAAAACAACACTGGGAGATCACTGGAAGGTCTTGTAGATATAACATGTTAGTTTATGATGTTCTTTATCATCGCAAGTGTAATGGTTCTTGTGGTTCGTGTGCTGGTGGTCGGAACAGTCTAGTTGATCAGTTTGTCACCTGGTACACGCGAGTAAGAACACTATACCACTATCACCAACAACACGACAGCCACTGGAATAACAGTAATAACACCTGTAGTAGTTATAAGTCATAACACCTGTAGTAGTGACAATAACAGTAATAACACCTGTAATAGCAATAACACGTTGACATCGCCGGCTACACTACCAAAGAAAAACCCACCGCTGCCACCACCACCAACAACAACAACAACAACAACAACAACAACAACAACAACAATAACAACAACAACAACACCACTATCAAACAACAACATCACTACCAACAGCAACAACAACAACAACAACAACACCACTATCAAACAACATCACTACCAACAACAACAACAAAACAACAACAACAGCCATCAACAAGAACAACGCTCCAAACGACAGCAAGAGGCGGGCAGAACAAGCATCGGACATTTAATTGCTTTGGATTTACAATTGGGGAAAAGTTTTGGCATTTGATGGTGGCGTGTGTGTGTGTCTGTCTGTTGCAGGACGCCTCTGATGCGGGAAGCTTCTGTTGCAGGAAGCTTCTGTTGCAGGAAGCTTCTGTTGCAGGAAGCTTCTGTTGCAGGAAGCTTCTGTTGCAGGAAGCTTCTGTTGCAGGAAACTT